CAAAACAAAAATTTACTTTTGGATTAAATATTTCCACTGTTCATTTGATGGAAAGATGAACATGATAAAAATTATTTAAATGGAAATGAAAAGTTTCGTTGAAGCCACGATTACAAGGAAAAGGGTCAAAATGTCAAATTTGCTTTTTGATTGTTCGTTAATCATGATTGCTATCAACTTCATTTTCATTCAAAGCCAATGTGATTAGTAAAATGAAGTTTCAACTTCGAGTTTTCCAGTTTTTTCTTCAGTTTTTGGTTCGAAAGATTCCTTTTCAAAGAGAAGCAAAATTAGATTATAATTCGATAATTATCAAAACTTTCAAACATTCGAGTTTGATATAAGTAGAAAAGTCCTTTTCTGGAAAAGAGTTTGAGTAGTATAAAAAAGTCCGGGTTTGGCCCAACATGTCCGACCTGACTCAGACGCTGAAAACTCACCAAAAGCTTTTTTAGTCAAATGATTGAAAACTCTACAGGTATGCTTTTGAAAGCTTATAGCTCGTTTATTTTGGCAAAAAAAAAGAATTTTTAACTTTTTCAACATCAAGCATAATATACAATTAAGTTTGCCTAGCCTCTCTTTCTTCATTTTCTCGCGCTTTTTCTTTGGCCCAAGCGAGGTATTGTCTTTGAAATTTTTCTTGGAGAAGCCAAAAATGGGTTGGATCCTACGATTGAAATAATCGCAATATGCGTTTCGAGCTACCAGATTGTCGTTTAATTCACGGATTTCACTGACAAGTAGCTCATTGGTTCTAACCGATTCATGGGCCTCATTTGATTGGGTTTCAAGGGCGGTATCTTTTTCTTCAATTTCATCTTCGAGAAGCTGGATCTCTTTTCGTAATCTCGCAGGTATTTCCGCAATTTTTCATTTCTTGAATATGTCACTGCCAAATCATCCTTCATGGCCTCGTATACATCAGCATATCGGATAAAATTAGTAATGAGTTTTTCCACTCCGGGTGGAACATCACCGGTTTTCTCTTCAATCCACTTCAGCAATCGCCGAAGACCAGATCGCAAAGGGCAAGAAGAACTGTTAATAGAAGAGAAGAAACATGAGTTAATAATAAGCGAGAATACACATTGAAATCACACTTACAGTATCGAGCAGCAAAACTGTCACTTTTTCTTCTTTCACAAATGATGTGAAGGATTTGATACTCTTTGAAGTATCTTAATTTAATTTTTAGATCTTGATCATGGATCATTAAGGAGTATATACAGAGATTTTGGAGGGTAAATTAAGCATATTAATTTAGATATTAAACCTAAAAATGACCTAACTTGACTAAAAATTGTGAAAAAAGATTGGAAGTTTCATTTGTATTGAAAAATATAACTAATAATATTAAAAATGTGCCAAATTGACGGATGTTAGTCCAAGAACTGTTACTCGCGTCAAAAAAAGGTTAATGAGTGGTCAATCAATGGATAGAGTCAAAGGTTCAGGACGTAGTACGGAATTAAATACTACCACTAGGCGGAGCCTTGGTCGAATTGCTCAAAATAACCCGGTTCTATCGAACCAAATGATTGTTAATCGACTTGATTTTCTTGGTTCAGCTCAAGTAAGTAGATTTACTGTTGGTAGAGAGCTGAAAAAACTTGGAATCAAAAGATTCAAACCTAAATTCAAGCCACTCCTTACTGATCGCAAATCGAATTGAATTTTGTCATCGAAACTCGAACCGAAACTGGGAAAATGTAGTTTTTTCTGATGAAGCTTCATTTCAACTCAATTCAAATTCAGTAAAATTGCTCGGAAAATCAGCTAAAACAATCCAAAGATCAAAATTCAGTCCCAAAGTTATGGTGTGGGGAGCAATTGCACTTAGGGGACAATCACCAATTAAAATTTGTTTGAAATCCATAAATTCAGATGAATATATCAAAACAATAGAGGATTTTATGATTCCAAATATGTCAACCTTTTTTCCTGAGGGGTTCATCTTCCAACAGGACAATGCACCATGTCATGTGATCTCAAAAACTTTGAAATTTTTCGATGAATCGAACATCGATGTTTTGACCTGGCCTGCTAATTCACCTGACCTTAACCCGATCGAGAATGTCTGGGGTTTAATGAAACAAAACCTGGCCAAAATGAAAATATCTTCAATTCAAGAATTGAAACAAAAAATTCATGAACTATGGGACAATTTATCCCATGATTATCTCCCTTCTTCGATAAATTCAATGAATACTCGAGTGCAACTGTGTATAGAGGCCAAAGGTCGACATATTCCTTATTAACTATTGAACTGTTTAATTCAAAATTTTCATCAATATTGTTCAATTCTGAGATCAATTATCTCCGTTTTTCTAAGTGACAGTTTTTTTGCTCGATACTGTACTACACTTACACACTTATTAACTTAAAAAAGACAATTTTTCAGACTAGAAAAGAGTTAAAAAGCTATTATGATGTTAATTGATTTAGAGTAATAAAGCTAATATGGAACTCAGTAATGAAATCTATTAACATAGTTTTAGGGTCTGGGCCAGGTCGGACATGTTGGGCCAGACCTGGACTTTTTTATACTACTAGTTTGATTTTTATCGAAAAAATCGAAATTCAGTAAATTCCGAAAGAGGAGTTGGATAAGGATTTTTTGCAGAGATTTTTCGATTTATTAGAGGAAAAGATAAAATAATTTCTATTGAATTTCGCGTTGGGCTTCGATACTCGAACAAATCTTCGAAAAGATAATTTTAAGTGAAATCTTTTCGGATTCACTGTTTTCACTTGGAATGTTCGGTTCTAAACATACTTTTATCGTCGATTTTCGATCTATTCGTTTATTTCGATTTTGAATTTCTTTCGACGATTCATTCGAATTTTCTTATAACATCGGATTGGTTGTAACTTTAGCTCAAGTGAAGAGCTTGAAATGTGAAAAGAAATTGAAAGAAAAGTTTGTTTCTCTTAGCTTTTGCTAACATTTTCAACAGTTCACTTGCTTCTGAACTTTCAGATGATATTGAAATTAAAAGGTGTAAATTGGAAAGAACGAAACTTTTTTCTCCTTTTTACTGTCAAACTTTTTGCTGGAAAACAATTGTCGGAACTTTTATTCCAAGTTTTATTTCAATCATTAGTCTGAATAGGAAAAGGTTGAAACAGTAAATCTTAATGATGAACAAATCAATTCGACACTTTTCCACATTGATTTTTTACGTGATTATTTTGCTCAAACTGAATAACTGAATAAAATTATTCAAAGAGAAGAAAAAAGAATTTCTTTTTCCATCAACAATTATCTTTCATGATAATGAAATTAAACAAAAAAGTTGCAAGTTTACCTTTCAATTTAACTCTTTTCTCTGAGTTTGCATTTGTTTCCTTCATTTTGCAATGTTACTTGAGATGAAGAGGAAAACAAAATTCAACTTTTTTCCCTCTTCAAACCTTTTCTTTACTCGAATAAATGAATTTGTTCATTTTTCTGATTAAAAAGCAAAAAGGCAAAGAAATTGTAGTTTTTATTTTCGTCATTTGGTTAACTTGATCATCAAATGACTTTCAGTTTAACCCTCAAGGTTTTCATGTTTGGCCCTTTAAGATTCAAATCCTATTTTCAGACTCTTCAATCTATACAAAGAACCGAAGAAAAAGTTTCATGAAAAAGTAGATTCGATTGAATCACAGAATTGCTTCTCTAAACAAGTGATTTCAAAGTTGAATTACTTTCAATGATTATTCAAGTTGATAGTCGAAAGGACTAATGACATTTCATGATGAATCCAATGTTCATTACTCGTTTAGATTACAAGTTAATTATCGAACAAAAAAAATCGAAAAAATCTCATAAGATTCATATCGATCCTCGAATTTGGGTTCATATTGAAAAGTTAAAGACTCTGATGATTGTAACAGAATTTGAATTTTTCTTTGATGTTCTTTGAGTTCAATTTTTCAGCTGAAAACATTTGCAATGAAGCCTAATTTTTCTCATAATTTAATCCCTGAAAGTTATTTCCGAAAAATCGAATTTTGATTGATAGAAAATTTAAACTTTTTTTTCATGAATTTTAATGTGAAATGTTTTCGTCAGTGAACTTGAATATTGAAATTAGATAATAAACTGAAAATGCTTTGGAATCAAGGTTAATGATGATGTTGATTGTATTGTGACAAGGTCAAGGTGCGCCAATCAAATGTCATCAAGTTTCACCATGAAGATGGAAAAGAGAAAAAGAAGAAAAAATTGTAAACATTTGATAAACGTTCAATATGTTCATTGCGTTGGTTTGATTAAAGGTTAACCTAAAAAAGGATTCACTTGCGGTGAATTTCAAGTGAAATATGAAAACATTGAAAACGTTTATTCATTCATTGTGACACTCACCAGTCAAACAAAAAGGATTACACCTTTGATTAGTTTACTAATAATGAGCTCAAATCAAGTTTATTAAACCTTCAACTTTTACTTATTTCTCTCTCTTCTCATGATGATGATGTTAATCATGAATAATCTATTATACTGATTATCATGGTAATGCATAATGATGATGGTATGACAGGTAATGCAGCACAACTGAACATGTCATCTCAAATTAGGTATCAACAAGGTTTAACTTTCATCATTCAAGGTAAACATTTTTTCCTTTCGTTTCTTCTTCAGATTATTTTGTTTACTAAAAACTCTCATTATTGTTACCTTTACTTTTGATAAGAAGATGAAAAATGAACTTCAATTTTTGCCTTCTTTTGGCACATAAACTTGTTTCCCATTTTTCATCAAAACTCAGCTAATCAGTTTAAACTCGCACCAATTTGCTAAGCCTGTCAATTAAAAGGTAATCATTGCAATTTCATGGTTACCATGTTTATCAACCAAAATAATGATATCAGGCAATGCAGAACAGTTTCAACTCTTCAACACTTTCATGATAACTCAACATTAACTTTCTAGCATTTATCTGTGGTTCTTTTAAAAGTTCAGGAAACACTGAGAATGAAAATGGACATTGAAGATGAATCGACTTTAGTAATTTTCAAGTAATTTTATTTAGTCCAGTATTGCAATGTATCAAAATATCAATTGAGTTTAAAGTTCGAATAAATTTATTCGATGGTTCAAGTTGGTACAGATTTCATCGGTAGCTTATTCTATGAATCTATTCCAATGATTCCATTTAATTAACAATTCTGTAAAGTGTCGAATAGTTGAGTGTCTTTAATTCCAACTGAGTCTAATTTAGCAACCAGATTTTTGACGGTAGCGTCTTCTAAGGTTGGATTCCTTGAAAGTACCCAAACATCACCTGAATTAGGAAATAAAATTCATATTTCAAGTTAATTTTGATTCGATTGAAGTTAGACATTAATACTTACGGAAGTTGAAGAGACCAAAGACATTGTTACAGGAAACAACTAAGGCATAACCTTTGTAATCAGTGTCAACAACCCAATATTGTGCGGCAGGTGAGTCTACATTTCAAGAAACAAGGAATAAGGAATTATAAGGAATTCAGCACTTAAAGTATTCTCTGATCAGAATTTTGGTATAAACTTACATGGCAAGAATTTGACTGATAAGACGTTGTCTTGTTTAGTTGTTTTTGCGGTTCCAACAGTGAAAATTGTGTTGTTGGACACATAGACACCACTGTTGTTTACAACGACATTGCCAGTAGCTGAGTCCAACTGGTAGTTGGCTTGGACACATCGAAGATCCTTCTCGAATACTGGTTTGGTTGACTTTATTTCATACCAAGTACCAAGGAACTGTTGACGAAAGCGATCACAAAAATCAATAGTTTTATTGACATATTACAGTACAATCTGGCTGTGTTTTTCACTGAAACAATTCTTACCTGTTTAAGTTCAAATGGCTGTGGAAGTCGAGTGGGTTCAGGGCATTTTCCAGGTTTAACGCTCCCTGTTAGTGATTGGAATAGACCTCGAGCCTCAAAGGTTGGAGCGAAAGCAAAGGCAAAGACACAGAGAACGAAAAATTGATTCATTTTTTATTGTTAGCTGGTTAACTTGTTATTAAACTGTAGATATTCACAAATGATCTGTAAATCAACAACTAATAGCAAATGTCGTTGCTAACTCATCTTAAATACCCAAAGATCTCATCAAATTATTTCATTGAACAATGGGATGGGAACAATAAATGATTGAATTGATATGATTCCAATGATACAGCATCGGTAGATTAGCAGATTCACACATTGATATTGCTCACTGATAATTCATTGACAATGATCTTAGATAGTTTGGAATCTATTAATAGATATTACACAGATGATCAAGTTCAACTCTCGTTTGCAGTTAGGGCAAAACAAGAACTTGATTTATTGTCTATTTTAGGTGCAATCTATTTTCATGTTAAAAGGGAAATTCTGAAAAAATCAACACACAATAGTTTTGATAATCTCATGATATGATAGCACTCGTTCTGACCAATTTTCGAACCTGAATTGAACCGATGCAATGAATCTCATTCGATTCCTAATTGTGATATATCTAATCGATGCTTCCATCAACTTCTCGAATACGTTTTACAGTCCTATTTGAAGCCAACAAATAAATGATCTTCAAAATGAAGCCTATTAAAGGCATCAAAGGGAAAAATATCGATAAATGAATCCATCAGAACATTTGTTTCATATTAGGTTAATGTAGCTATTGCAATGTCTTCAGATCAATGTAAACTGAACTTGACGTTACAATTGTTGCGACCAAAATAGGAAATCAAGAAGAGTAAATAACAATTGCAAAGCAATATTACTCTCAACCAATTTCAGTTTTTGACTTTTCTTTCATGACTGATCAGAAATTAAAAATCAAAAGGGCTCGAAGTAAACCGAACAGCTTAACATCGAAAGGACATAAATTTTTGTCTTTCGTCTGACAGAAATTGCAACTGATGAATTTCATTCGTTAATTTAGATGCAAAATTGACTAACTTATGTTTTATCGGAATTGGATGAAAGACTCAAAACTGTCGACTATCATTCAATGAAATGAAAGAGCTATCAATTTGTTCAGTTTAGACAAAGAATTAATTAAAATGGTAAGATTCGTTTCTCATGTAAATTGGGTTTTAAATGTGTTCATGGAAGGTTTGGTGGAAAGAAAAGTCTGAAATGATTTGTAAAATTGATTCAATAGACGAGAGTAAAAGAAGTCTTACTGTCAACTGATTAGTCTCGTAATTAATGTCAATTTATAACCTTTTACACCAAACAGATTAAAGTATTTTCCCAGAAAGCAAAGCCTTTTCTCTTGAATTCAAATCGAAATGAAATTGAATTGAATAATATCAATTTCAAAGAAGCTCAATGATCAACTCAAAGGAAATCATGAAACGAAATAAAAAAAAATTTGAAATCAAGTCTTATTATTGATATTAAACTCGACTCTAACTGAGATAAAAATGAAACGAAAATTGTTTTGCTTTTAAAATCAACTTTCGCTGGGACTAATTGTGACTTGATTAAGAAGTTTAAGAATGAGAAAAAGATTTCAAAGTTGGAATTGCAAAGTTGCCTGAGTTTGGCTAAGTGAATGCAATGAAACTTGTTTAGTTAATTGATTAGCCAATAAATTAATAACGTCACTTTGACACTCGTTTAAAAAGATGAAACTTTTTTCTTCACTTTTCCATTGCAATTGATTCTTCAATCAACCTGGAAGCTCCTCTTGATGGCTTCAGTTGAAGTGAACATGAAAAATGGAAAAGTTAAGTGAAGAAGAAATAGTTTCATGTTGAAGAAGATTCATTGTCATCTCAATTGTTTCAAGTCATTTGCACTTTATTCACACTTGCAAATGCTCAGGTAAACCTGATGGTGATGATGATGTCGATGATTATGATGATAAGTGGTTATAGAGGCACTTTCACCTTGACTTTCATTTGTCCATTTTTTACCTCTTCATTCACTAATATGCTTTGCTTCAACTTGATCCTTGAGCCAAAATTAATCACCAAGTTAACCAGATTTGCATTCATTTTCAGCTTTCAATAAACTCAATGATTTAATGATGAGGCAACGATGGCATTAATCTTGACCAGAAAAGGCTTCAAAAGGCAGATGTAAGCCTTGATTAATATCGAAATTCATTGCTAATTCTTATGAATTGAGTTTCGATTCTGTTTCAGTCTTTTGTTTCAAGAGTTGATCTTTTTTTGGGTAAAAAGTCTTAACTCATTTCCTTGCAAAGCCATTTTGATAAACTTTGATTTTAAGTTTGGAAAAGTAAAGTCAAGATTCTGATTAAACCATAAATCAATTGGAATCACTGGATTCGCAATAATAAATTGAATTCTAATCATGTTAGTCAACTTATTTCACTAAACTTTTCACCCTGATTCCAGGTAAAGATGAGATATGGAATGAGATGAAAAAAAAGTTGAAACTGTTTTCTTCTTCTTCTTCTTCTTAAATTAAGATATTCTCTAGTCAAGAGGTATTACGATAAACATGATCAAATAGATTTAGTTTTATCTTTTCAGGAGTTTGATTTATTCCTTTTCTTCTGTTTTCCAGTATTCCAATTGCCTTTAAAGGACTCAGCGATTGAATCAAATGATAATTGTGACGATCCAAATGATAATAACCTGAATAACTTGTGGCCAACAATGTTGAGTAACAGTCAACTTTGCGATCAATTTGTCTCCATGTAATTGGTAAGTTTGACAGGGTCATAGGCTTGACCTGACAAATGGTAATCCTTTAACCGACAACAATTTACAGCTTCAGATATTCAAGCTCACAATCAATCCAAATACTTCAATCCAAGGAGCAATTAGTAAAAAAACAGATTCTTTGATATTTTTGTGAACCTTCTTTAGAGAAAAGTTCATTAAATAAAATTTCAAAGAATTTCATTTCCTATTTCCATTCACAAGCTATAAGTGAACTGCTCTTGACAATCAAAGTCGAGACGATTTCAATCACTAAAAACTCGAATCTTTTAATTAGAACTTAGGACTTCGAAATTTATTTCCTTACCATAGAACTTTACTTCAGATTCTTCCTTGAAAATCTGTCGATTTGATGTTTTTTACAACTGATCAGTTGATTATTCAAAGAGAAAAATCTCTGCAAATCGAATTGAGAAATTGAATTTTCTGTGAAAAAAAGTTTAAGTGAATCACTTGAGTTATCAAACCACAAATAATTCATCTTATTCTGTTTCATTCAATTTACATATTTTCTGCTCAACCCAGAATCACATGTAAACGAATCAGAATGATAGACTTTTCAAGTGACATCAACTAATGCTGTTGATCTTTTCACCTGTTAATTTTGAAAAGAATCTTGTGTTTCATTTTTTACTTTGAATATTGTCAACAAATTGGACTATTGAGTAGTTCATGATGTTACATGATTACAAAACATTGCTTTTCAATACATTTGTGATAAACTTGGAAACTTTTCATTTTCTCAACCTTTCATGTAAATTTTGAATTGTTGATTCAGTTTGTTCCTCAGTCGAGACAAGGTCAACCGACACTTGATTTTGTCGATAAATTATTCATTCTAAAAATGTTTAACTGAATAAGAAAAAACTGCTTGGAAATTGCTTCGAACTATTATGTTCATCAAAAATTGATGATGAGTTAATGAAATAAATAAACACAATTTTATTCGCTCATTGGTTTTGTCAACAAAAAAGAAACAAATTTTTTGAACAAATTTTCGCTTCTAATGGTCTGAATCTGTTTCTAAATGTTGGATGAAAATTGAAGAGAATCGTCAAGATTGATGAAATTGAATCAAGTTAGGTGATTGATATTGGTTAACCAAGATTAAAAGACTAAAGTATCATGATGATGATGAGAGTAAAGATGATTTGTGGCTTATTTCATCTTCTTTTCTCTTGTTCATGCTAATTCTGTTCACAATGTTAATCCTCTTTTAAATCTCTAAATAAACCCTAAACACATCCTAATCCATTATCATTATCATTATAAGTCAGTTTCATATTTAAGACAAAATATTATTTAATCTTCATCATCATTAGTATCGTCAGTAACATTTTGCAACATTGAAACTTTGCCCAGTTTACAGATCATTTGTACTTTTTGTTTCATCCCAAAAATGATGAGATTTCAGTTTTTTGTTTGAAATTAACTTTAAACAACTTCATCTCTTGTATTATTTATTACATTGATAATTTGATGAATTTAATTTATAACTATTTTCTGCTTTTCAGTTAATCTCATTTGATCACCACGCAAAAGTTTATCGTTAATTCTTGTTATTAATATTAATAACTTGAAGGTTTTCGTAATTCATCATTAAATTTTATCAAAAAGGCAAATTAAATCCAAATTTGTCAAAAGAAACTAATTTTCAAGAATTATTCTGAAGATTATTTGCTAATTTCTACTGATTTCAAAATGAATATGGAATTTTACTTCTGAAAAATTCTATTTTTCGAGCGATCCCCGACTTATCAGTTAAAATTTTCATCCCTTGAAAACTTGATCTAACAGTACTTTTGAAGCTCTTATCACAAAATGTCTCGATTTGCTCTATATTTCTTGTGTTTGTTAGATGTTCATAGCTCATGCTAGCCAAAGGATATGAGTGTTTCCATACCGTTCGGTTAATCAATTGGTTTTGAGAAAAATTCGGTTATCTCTCCAATGGCAAGTTATGAATATGTGATTAACATTAACCGATCTGAAATTTTTGTAATCTTAAAAATAAATGCCAATTAGAGGTCAAATAACGGATTGACATTGAATGACCTTGAGCGTTTGAACTCATGGTTCTTCAATCTGCGGAAGCTCATGGTTCAAGTCTGAGGTCTGTAGCATCAACCTTAGTTGAGTTTGAAGCATTTGAAGAAAAAAACCGTCAATGAAGTTTTGGCGCATTTCTTGGCTGATGTTTTTGGAAGCTTTCGACTCTCATTCTGATAAATTCAGCTTGAATCAGTTCTCTTCCTTTGAGCAAATGAATATCGACAAACATACTGACCAAATATGATGTGGTACGACGGTCGCAGTTTGGTATGATGGTCGTTGGAGTTAAAGACTCAACGTAACCAAAGCTTTAGTAACCAGTTTACTTTATCTTATCTGTATTTTTA